CATCGTTGAGTTTGTAATGCAAGTTTGTTTCTTCGATGCCCAAGAAATAGCACCACCTCTAAGCAAGAATACCCAACCACTAGTAGAAGAATGATCTTCTACATTAGATATCCAACTTGCATCCGAGTATCCTTCTAACACCGAAGGATATCCTAGATAACACAAACCATAGTCCATGGTTCCCTTCAAATACTTGAATACTCGTTGTATAGCTTGCCAATGTTGTGTACTAGGATTACTTGTGTACCGACTCAACCTCCCAACGGCATAAGCAATGTCGGGTCTCGTGCTAGTCATAGCATACATCAAGGAACCTATAGCTTGAGAGTATTCCAATTGTGAAATAGCCATGCCTTTATTAGGCATTAATTTCATGCTAGGATCCATAGGAGTACTCACGGGAGAACATTCACTATAATTGAATTTCTTGAGAATTTTCTCAATATAATGAGATTGCGTTATAGCAATTCCTCTGTTCAACCGTTTAATCCTAATTCCTAGGATTACATCCGCCTCCCCCATGTCCTTCATGGCAAATTTTGATGATAATAAATTCTTAGTTTTATCAACTTGAAGTTGATCCGTACCAAATATTAACATATCATCAACATATAAGCATATGATCACACCTGAGCCAGAAGCATCAAATCGGCTATAAACACATTTGTCGGATTGGTTTAAAGCAAAACCACATGACAAGATAACTTCATCAAACTTTTGATGTCATTGTTTAGGAGCTTGTTTTAGCCCTTACAATGACTTCACAAGTTTACACACCTTATGCTCATTATCGGGCATAACAAAACCTTCCGGTTGTTTCATGTAAACTTCCTCATCAAGGTCACCATTCAAGAATGCTGTCTTGACATCCATTTGATGAATAATTAGATTGTGAATAGAAGACAATGCAATCAACAATCTAATAGTTGAAATACGAGCTACCCAATACCGGGTTTTTGCCTAAAACCTTGAATGACTAACCGGGCCTTGAACTTGTCAATAGTCCCATCAATTTTCATTTTCTTTTTGAAAATCCATTTGCAACCTAAAGGCTTGGAGCCCTTTGGCAAATCAGACAACACCCAAGTGTTGTTCTCCATGATTGATGACATTTCATCATCAATCGCTTCTTTCCAAAAAACAACATCTCTAGACTCCATGGCCTCCTTAAAGGTCTTAGGATCTTCCTCAACATGAAAACAATATGAATATTGCATCCCCATTTCATCTCTTGAACCTTCAACCAAATAAAATTGGAAATCCGGTCCAAAGTTTTTTGCAATTCGGCCTCTTTTGCTTTTCCGGGGCTGTTGAGTTTCGGGAATTGAAACACCACCCAAATCTTCTAAATTTTCTGAATTTTGCTCTTCATTAGAGCTAAAAATCAGATCCTTAGGCCTTTGAATTGATGAAAAACGCATCTCATCAAAAATCGCATCACGCGACTCAATTACGATATTAATCGACACCGAATCATTAGGTTCTATTACATAAAACCTATATGCCTTGGAATTTTGTGCATATCCAATGAATATACAATCAATTCCTCTTTCACCTAAATTTTTCCTTTTAGGTTCAGTAAGTTTCACAACAGCTCGACATCCCCAAATTCGAAAATAACTCAAATTTGGAGCTTTCTTATACCAAAGCTCATATGGGGCTGTTTTGTTCCGTTTGTTTGGAACTCTATTCAAGACATAACATGTTGTAAGCATTGCCTCTCCCCAAAATCCCTCACTCAAACCCGAGTAAGAAAGCATCGAGTTAACCATTTCTTTTAAAACTCGATTTTTCCGTTCRGCAACACCATTTTGTTGTGGTGTATACGGAGCTGTTGTTTCATGAATAATACCAATAGATTGAAAGTATTGAGGATCCATATATTCTCCACCCCGATCAGTTCTAAGACATTTAATTGATTTGCCTAATTGCAATTCACTTCGGTTTTGTAAATTTTAAATTTATCTAAAGCTTCATCTTTAACATGTAATAAATATACATAACAAAACCTAGTTGAATCATCTATAAAAGTAACCACATACTTTTTATTGCCAAGTGAAGGAGTAGCATGAAAATCACAAAGATCACTATGAATTAAATCCAAAATACCCGAATCTCTTTTAATATTAGGAAACGGTTGTTTCGTGATTTTTGTAAGCATACAAGTCTTACACTTTTCAGCTTTAATGTCAAAAGATGGAATCAAACCTACTTTAGACATTTCATGCATTCTTCTAAAGTTAACATGACCTAATCTAGCATGCCAAAGCATAGAATTCTCTACTTTAGAAGTTGAAGTCATAAACACAGAATTGCTACTAGAGGCAACTTTATTTACTACATTAAGTTTAAACATGCCATCACAATAGTATCTGAATCCAACAAACATGCCACACTTGGATAGGACATACCTATCCGACTCCATAACTTGTTTATAACCCATACGATTTAACAAGCCACTAGACACAAGATTCTTTCGAACCTTAGGTACATACAAYACATTAAACAAAGTAATTGTTTTTCCAGAAGTAAACACCAAACTAACAACACCCCTTCCTAGAATTGGCTTCATTGACTCGTCTCCCATGCATAGAACCGATCTATCATCAATGGCTAGTAGCACCCGAGTCAAGCCACCAAGAGAAATCATCCTCCTGCACATATGAAATTTCAGGAATTAGTGAAACATAATTCTGGGTAGAATTACAAAGATCATTGAAAAACTGACCTTTAGGTGGACCTTGGTCCTTAGACCCTTGTCCACTACCACTATTTCCAGCTTCATACTTGTTGAGTTTCACACGGCAATCACGTTTAATGTGTCCAATTTTGTTAAACCTCCAACAAACCAATTCCTTGGCTTTCTTGTTGGATTTGTCATGGTCATCATACTTACGTTTCTTGCCCTTTCCTTTGGTGTCATTTTTGTGTTTCTTCTCTTCAACCATAAGAACAGAAGGCTGCCCAACATCAACCTTCCCTTTCACCTTGTCACATTCTTGAACCCGGAGTGATTCCTCAATCAGAATGTGACTACCCAATTGTACCAAAGACATTTCCTCTTTCTGATGTTTTAAAGTGTGCTTAAAATCTTTCCAGGATGGTGGTAATTTGTCAATCACACTTGACACAGCAATGCTTTCATCCATGTTCATTTTGTGAAGTGTGAATTGTCCCAGAATTCGAATAAGTTCATTGTATTGTTCCATTACGGGCCTAGAATCTACCATTTTGTAATTGTTAAAATCAGAAACCAAGAATTTCTTACTAGAAGCATCTTCTGCTATATATTTAGACTCTAAAGAATCCCATAATTCCTTAGCACTTTCGATATTCTGGTATATATCAAAGAGAGCATCAGACATACCATTCAGAATATGACCCCTGCAGATGTAGTCATCATTCTCCCACTTGTTCCTCTTCCTGGTTTGTTCCAGTGTCTCATCCTCCATGAGTTCAGGCATTGGTGTACTCAGAACATACACAACCTTCAAAGTGGTGAGAAGAAAGTGCATCTTCTTCTGCCAGCGACGAAAATCATTCCCCTGGAACTTCTCCAACTTGTTAAACTTCGAAGTCATGTCCTTCACAGATTCACTGGTAGTCATGATTGCAGAAAACCGAACAAATATCGAATTTGATTGTTGAAATCTAACCGGATTTCTTCTACAATCGTGTGAATCACTTTCCAAATTCGATATTTCGACCGTATATGTCTGGTATCACGAAATCCGAATTGGGATAATTGTAAAAGCAACAATCTTTATTTTTTGCAGAAATCAAGATCAAAACTAGAGAAAATATAGAGTGTCTTCAAAAGTTCGTATGTTTCCCAAAACTGATCATCCGAAATTCAAAAACCCCAAAACTGAAAACGGGAGTTACCAAGTTATAGGATTCACAATCATACCACAGAAAAATCAAGAATTTTCCATTATAAACCCTATAATACAAGCGTGCACTCCACACTCTCCATACTTGTTTTAGAACAAAGTTCAATCCCTTTTAAACACACGTATAAAATCCATTACACTAAATGTAACCGGTGACACTAAAATCACCAACACGACTTTATTTCAATTTTTATCTAAAACTCACCCTTAACAATGTTTTGAACTTTCAAAATGTTCAATTTATGGTTATATTATATGGACCAAAGTTGGTTGTTGTTCTTTATTTGCATTTAACTACAATAAAAAAATAACTACTACTTTGTTCAGTATTGCTAATCCTTAAAATATATAAACTTCTTTATTTGAAGGCTGTATATCTAATCATATTAATTTACCAAATAAATATGACAAGAATCAAGAACATTATCGAAGAGAGAGAGAGAGACGACTATGTGCAAAAAGCATTAAAAGTCAGAAAAAGAGGGACGAAACCTGTACATTTTGCTGATAGTATTCGCCCATGGTTTCTGGCTTTTTGCCTTTGGAGATGCATCCATATAAACCTCAAGTGGTTTTGGCGGATGGGATTTGGATTCAAGTTGCAACCCCCAAATCATCAATTACCACCTGCAACTTGCAAACCCCCAAAATCCATTCTTCTCCTCAAATAAAGTCTTCGACATCATGTCAGTTACTCCAAACAGTACAGCTTTCATGGCGCAAGCAATGCACGCTGATAATCCGCACCGTGAGACATTTCATAGATTCTTCGAGTGTTGGATCAGCGAGCAGAATACATACCTTGAAGAGCTTGTATCTGCCGCCGACAACCACAATCGGGACGAGAACGACGACGCCGTGCTGTGTCCGTTGATCGAGAGGGTTGTTCGGCATTACGAGCAGTACTACCAGGCCAAGTCCAATTGGGAAAAGCGAGACGCGATTTCGATGTTCTCACCGGCGTGGCGGAGCAAGCTGGAGGATGCGTTTTTATGGATCGGCGGATGGCGACCGACGTTGGCCATCCACCTGCTCTACTCCAAATCAGGAATCCAGATGGAGGCCAAAATCGGCGATTTAATCCGTGGATTGACGACCGGGGATCTAGGAGACTTGGAGCCGAATCAGATCAATCGAATCGACGAGTTACAGAAGAAAACCATCTATGAAGAACGAATGTTAAGCGAAAAATTTGCGAAACAACAGGAATCGGTGGCGGACAGGTCCATGGTGGAGCTTTCGAACGCGGTGTCGGAAATGATCAGAAATGAAGACGGCAGCGATGAGGGTGAGAATGAGGAGAAAGTGGAATCGACGTTGGATTCAAAAAAGGACGGATTTGAGGAGTTGTTACACATGGCGGATGATCTGAGATTGGAGACCTTGAAGGCTGTAATCGAGATATTAAGACCGATACAGGCGGTGCATTACCTCATCGCGGCGGCGGAGCTGCATCTCCGGCTACACGACTGGGGAAAGGAAAGGGAAGCCCACGTGGCAGAAAATGTTACTGGGGCCCCTAGCGGGTTGGACGTTTCATGACGTCATTATTTTGACTTTTCTTATTCCCTAGTATTTATTATCATCATTTTTTCTTTTGTTTTTCATAGAAATGATTTTGTAGAGCTGTTTATGTAGTATCATTTTTTTTAATTAACATACTTTAAAGCAAAGACAGTTTTAGGATTTGAAAACCCTTCTATGCATTTGTGATTTCAATCTACAAATACAGTACCTAACTTTGCGTTATTGAAACTGTTAGGGTGACCATTATATTCTCAAGACACATGATCAATCAAATTCCATTCATTCTTTTTACATTCATGCATCGATCTAACAATTTTGTTATCTTAGGGATTGTTTGTTTACCTTTTAATAGTTCCATTAAGAGGTAACATTTGAATCGTTAAGAGGTGAATCTTATTTGACAAAAAAAATATCTATCTTTTAATGGTTTTAAAACTCTCTGAATGATTTTATATCATGAACCATTAAGCGCCTTAATTTCATTTTGTACTATATCATGAAAGACCCTTAATCATTCCGACCACTTAAATATTTTGTACCAAATCATTTAGCAATTGTCAAAACAACCTCTTATTCTCTGAAATAGAAAATAAAACTTAATATTAAAGAAAGAAATTATTATTTTATTCAATTTCATTATAAGATTGAGTTGTTATATTTTATTAAAAACTTCTTTAAAAAGTTTATTGAGATGATAAATTAGAAAATAATATAATTTATGTTTAGAAATTCTATATTTTAATTTTTTTATTTTAAAGAAAATTATAGAAAAGTCATTGGAAGTTATATGGGTTTCATAAAAAGATGCATAATATCCGCTAATGGTGTTGAGAAAATTAAAACGGCGGTCATAGCCCGAAATACTGTTTATGCATGAAATGTTATATTACAAAGTATTTAACAAAAACTCTTAAAAACTATTCTTTATGCATGAAATACTGTTTATTAATGTATATTACTTAAAATTTAAAATTATAAGTAAATTGTGCGTAAGTATAACTTATTAAAGCTTCAATTTTGAATTCGTATAATTAAATGCAGATAAACAATAATCAAATACAGGATAAGTATCTCATTTTAAATTTAAAAAGTCTAAAATATAATTAGAATAATCATTAAGTTTTAACAGAATTATTATCTCTATAAATTTTTATTGTTAAGCCAAAACTAAATTACTTCATTATTTAACCTAAATTAAATTATAATAAAAACTGAATTAAATAAATTGTAAAAAAAAGTAGAATTTTTAAATAGTTAATTTAATATTAATATCGATATATTTTTTAAAAATTTTATGATATATTCAAATTTATTTTTATTCAAACATAAAAATATTATCTCTATCAAAACCACATAAACCGTATTATATCAAAAAATATAAAACGAAATATTAAAATAAAGATATATCTCGTTGCATTATGCAAATATCCTTGTAGCTACTCTCTAAAAATACCCACAGTTTGGATTTATCATTTAATTATTATACATGATCACTCATACTAGTAAAATTCAGTAATAGTGACAATAACGATAAAGAACGACATCCCTTATTGACATCATAGTGTCGATACACTATCTTTGTTCGTCCACGGTTTTGCATCACCAACTCTCTCATTTCTTTCTATTTTGTACCAAATGATCCATTGTCTAGTTATTGCCTTACAATCCTACCGCTTAGTGCATTGTAAAAACAGAAACTAAGCTCATCCGAAAAGATTTTTATTTTGTTTCATATTAAAGCTTATCCATTAAGGCACATAAACGTAGTGTCTGCCTGTTAAGTTGATGTTTAGTTTGTCAAAATGTCCTCATTGAAGCAACGTTTTTCAAAGTTAACATGTTCCCATTTTATTTATATCAAGTTTCATTCCAGGCAAACATATTTATTCATAGCATCCACCGGTGGTGGTGGTGGTGGTGGTGGTGGTGGTGGTGGTGGTGGATTCTAGTAGAAGGTGGTTATTGGTGCAGCAGGGGAAGTGCCGTAACTATAAAAATCCGCAATTTAACTTAAAAAGTCTCATAACTAAGAGAGTACATGGAACTGAACTACCGATGGAAAAGGCAGGCAGAGTCTTCATAGCTCGTCTTTGGTTGGTTGGATTATGGTCTCTTCGTCCTCACGGTTCTTCTGAATGAACTCAATGATATCCTCCTTTGTCCTGTTCCCTTCATATGGCACCACTTTACCGCTTGATGATCTGAAGTATAGCGTCGGGTAACCTTGAACTTCAAACGCGTCACTTGGAATGTCATTGTTTGATCCATCCTGATACAATTTTAAAAGTAAGGAAATTTACAAAAACGAGACTGGAAACCATAGGTTTGTCATTTCAGTATTTGGCACATGCTAAGTGACGTAAGAAGCAAGCGGGAACTTACAAATTTAGCAATCATGACACTAGCGTCGTGTTCAAAAGAGACGGCAACTTCATCCAAGATCGGAGCTAGTTTCTTGCAATGTCCACACCATGGTGCGTAGATCTCCAGTAGAACTGCAAAACAAGTCCAAATGGTATAAGCTTTTGAAAGAGAAGGGGAAGCGAAAGTTAAATGAAAATTGGCAAGAGTTGGAAAACAAACATAAAAACCAAAAGGCTACATGACCTCTACCCGAAAGCTATTTCTGTGAAAACAAATCCCAAATACATGTAAAGTTTCTCTTGATGTCCCAAGGCCAACATTTTTAATCATGAATTTCTATCATCACAAGAACATGAAAATCGATTTCCTTTCACCATTTAACATTTTTATTTTATAGGTCTCCTTTAGCATAGACAGAATCTTTACCGTTCTTTTTGGAGTCCAAAACCATGTCTTTGAGGCTATTAGCAACCACCACCTTCACAGGTTCATCGTTGGTTTCAGGAATCGGCTCCGACTTTATAAACGGCTTCACTTTTCCATCCTGCAGTTTATAGCAAATGTGAGCAAAAATGGTTTTATTTTTTTAAATAAAATCCATGTATTGTTTGATACGTATGGAATCATGTAAACGTTGACAGTTTAGAACAAGGATAACATGACCACACTTCCATAGACCTTCTGAGTGATCATTTGTAAACCTGAGCATGTTTGCTTAAGTATTTGTTTTCTCATAAGAAATCACTTGATAAACAATGAGAATAAACCAAACGGCCCAGAAAATAAACAAGAACTGATGATAAGTGGGTTCAAAGTAATAATTTAATTTACTTGAAATCATTACAACTTAAATCATGGAGATATCCAGGGTTTGGAAGTTAAACATACCACATAGTCATTCAACCAAGGGGCGAGTTGATCAGCTTCCACATTTGAGTTGATGAACTTCAGACCATTACTGTTTTGTACAACGAGGACAGGTGCTTGGTCTTCTTTAAGGCCGAAATACTGCTTGTCCAGGTATACAGGGAAATTAGGATGCGAGTCAAAGTCGAAAGAAAATTATGAAAGATGAGAAAGATACTTAATTACCTGCAAGGCAGCTTGACTAGCTTGAACATCACCCAATAGGAAATTTAAACCCTTTCCTTTGTATTCGCTAGCAACATCCTTGTATTTCGACTTGAAAGCATCGATTTGCTCATGACTGAAATCCAGAAACAGCATTGCCTAGGCAGAAGAAACATATAACCTCTGTTGGTATATCACAGAAAAGTTATAGAGAAGGTAACCAAACCAAACCAAACGATATGAGCTCGATATATCCCATCCCGGAGGTGCAGCCAGCTGGTCAGGGGGTGGGATGTCCATAGACCTGACCCTACCCAAACCTCAAGGAGTAGAGCTGACTGTTTCCGTGAAGACCCCAGCTTGTGAGAAGTGTGCCAGAAAAAAGAGGAAGTTTGCCACAAAAAAGATGAGGAAATAGAAAAAGGAGAAGGCTCAAAATAGAAGAATCATGTAACCCAGCATTATGTGGGATAACACATGGACACTATTTTGAAAGCATAAAAGTTATTTAAATTAATACTTGAGTTTATAATTAAAGGATTCATACAGGAGCAAGCTCTGCCACAGTGATTACGCAACACAACCAAGTAACTTGTTGGAACTAGGAGGTGGTTGACAAATTGACACAGCTGACTCGTGGCATCACAATCTTGCATATGAACAAATAGAATAGTTGCCTGCTGGTTGTTAAAATATCCTCGTCTATTCATGTTTATGTGTTTAGGGGTTCACCGAACCCCACACATCTCAAGGTGGTATTCAATAAATAGTAGCAGCAATACTCAGAATAGACACGAAAATGTCCTATTGTATTTTGAGAAACCCTTGGTTTATATTTACAAACATGATTAAAAAAAAGGCATGTGTAAAAGGGGTGTCCTGAAGTACATATATACCTTAGCATTGGGACTTTCAAAGTATTTGATTAGAAATGGTTGGTTGTTTGGGCTTTGGTCAAAGAGTGTCACAATAGGAATGCTAGCATCTCCAATGAACTTCTCCAAAGCATCAACTTCAAATGTCTGAAAGCTCACAAAACAAGTGTTAATAAATTGGTGAGAAGCCTTTATCTTTTACAAAAACCAAGAACCAAAACCGATAACCAAAAATATGAAATACATGTAACAGCAATAACTTTCCTTCTAAAAAGAAATAATTAAAAAGAAACTATAGCCTCCCACAGTGGCAACTGGCAGTACCTGGAAATCAACAAACAGTTCATCAAATGGCTTCAGTAACCTAATGGTCGGGGTGGTCACTGAAGATTCCCCGCGTGGAAGGAGTTCTGCGTTTGTAGTGTGACCAAAGTCGTAGTCCGAGCGCAGCTTATCAGCTAAGATGGTGAAATTCTCATATTCTTCCCCAGATAATTTGGGGAAGATTCCTACCTTCAATGATGCATCAAACATTTAAGGACTTATCAATCGAAGCTACCAAGTCAAAAGCCAGAGGGGAAAAGGGAGTTTGAAAATCTTACCACAAAGACCTTTTTCTCATCTATAAGGCTGCCTGCATCTTCTGGAGTTTTTATTTCAAATGATGCAGGACCTACTTGTTTCTTTAAGTATTCCACTATACCATCAGCCTCCCGAGGGCCTTTGTAGTCTTGGACAGTTTCTCCTCCATTTTTCAAGATCTTGATTGTAGGGAAACCTTGAATCTCATATTGCTGTGCAAGTTCTTTGTTTTCTTCAGCATTGGCATCAACCTTGGCCAAAGCAACTGGAGGCTCATGGCTTGACAACACAAATGCAGCCTTTTCATACTGCACATGTACATAATACAAGTGGAAATTATTACTTTTAGCTCTGTTCCGTTTCAAATACGAGAATTCATCTCCTAAGTGGAAATCTGGGGAAAAAGATAGATACCTCTGGAGCAAGATTCTTACAGTGACCGCACCTGTCAGAAAAGGCAGGATGTAATTTACAGATGTAAGCAATGGATTTTATCCCATAAACAATTGGTAAAATAGACAAGGTGAATTTCAAACGCATAAACTTTAGATGCAAGCAATTTCTAACCATGGATTCCAATTAAAGTTAGAGCAGAAGACATCGAATATAAACAACCGACATTTTAGCTTGAACACGCAGATACGTCAATCATCACGATTCAATAAAAGAAGGGAATGGAGAATGTAATTTTCTTCCAGAATTTCCCATTACCAATAATGTGGCTGCATTTCAAAAATTATGCTTCCTCTGTCCCCATCCTATAGCAATTACGATCTCTTAAACATTAGATAAAGATTTTGAATGCCCACCTCTAATTTACAGCTAATAAGAAATGAGACAAGATCTATCTCAAACCCTTGTGACAACTTATGGAAAATTTAACAACAAATGACAGTAGATCATTAAATTTATTAAGGACCGCCCATTGATTAGAAATTTACATAGGGGGCAGGTCATGCAATTTGAAAACTCCTTTTAAAGGAAAGTGTCTAAAATACTCATTTGAAATATTATTTTAATACTTAATCAACTAAGCATTCTCTGTATTAATTTAAAGCCAGATCCAGATCAGTTAAATAAAGACTGGTCTAAACTTTATCACATAAACGGAATATATGAACCAGTTTCCATTTGGATTTTAATCGTACACCAAACCCACGTTCTAAATCGCACATCTCCTTGCATGAATCACACAAACAAAACTTGATGTAAATGCTTCTTCTCTTAACCTATTCTTCTTTTACCATTCCATTTCCCCCTGGATTTCATCGATAAAGTTAGATCTGTATCTCAAAACACACACGCAGGCACACAGAAACAGGACGAATTCCTCAAGAATTCATAAACAATCAAATAAATATATCGATCTAAATACATGCAATGATTGGAAGTTCAAGTTTACGAATTAAGAACACTCAAAATACTTTTTTCTGGAAACTTCAAGTCAATGCAAGACAACAGTTAGTTTGTTAATTATTACTCAATCAGATCAAATCAAAACCACCAACCAAAAGTTGAATAATTAATCAAGCATATAGATTTATACCAAGGAGCATAGAACTCAACGACTATGAACTTGTGCTTAGCCACAGCTTCTGAGAAATTTGAGTGATCCAAAGTCAAGACATATTCTTTCTCCGCCTCGGTAGCAGAAGAGATTGATACACTGGATGATAAGATTGCAAAAACACAGAACAGAAATAGAGTACAAACCCTAGAAGACACCATAGCTGTTGAGCTCTGTGTAGAGACTTTCTCTCTCTATAAAGTCACAAGAGTTATCGCTAGTTATGTCATGTGAGAAAGAAGACCAAGACAAAGGAGCTTCTTCAGCGTGAATAAATAGGCGTTTGGTGGAATTGAACCCTTATACGTCGTCGTATACGTGGAAAATTGGGAGAATTTCGGCATCTGACGTAGGATTCCATCGATTGTCCTAAGATGAAACAGAGTAAATTATAAGTTTAGTCCCTTAAATTATACTCAATCTACAGATCTGGTCTAATGAGAATTTATTTACTTTTTTAGTCCAAAATAGATCATTATGTCTTGTGTTGGTACTTCAGGTTAATGAAATTCCTTTAAATGATATATATGTCATGTGTGGGTATGTCAAAGAAGTAAAATGCATCTATCAATATATATTCAGTCATCATCTTCGTTATAGGCCAAATTATCATTGTTAAAGATGCACAAAGCTCGTGTTTTTTTGGACATAGATATAAAACATTCGAAGCTCATTTTCAATAAGAAAAAAAAATCATGGGATTTTTTGGGGCACGGTCAAGCTTTGCGTGTGAAAATAAGCTTGGTCGGACATTTTAGCGCTAGATCTTTTCAGGTATTAGAAAGAAAAAAAATTGGTCTGATCGGACTTTTAGGTATGGGCTTCAGGATTACAAGTGTCGTCCAAATCAAGTAATAATGATAAGTAATACCAAATTTCGTTCCGCAGAGATTTAAATTGCAAAGAGAGTCACTAAAGTTAACTTTAAAGTGAGATTTCAAAAAAGGGTTTTTGGAAGCAATAAAGCTTAAGAGAGAAAACATTTTTGCGAGAGTTGGTAACCAAATACTGAAATGAAACAATAATTAAAAGATAGTATGGATGCAAGATCAGGTTGGATTTCAGCAACGAAGTGTAACGAATATTGCTCTATAAATAACTCTTTACAACACTACTGGATTGAATGGCCTTCCAAGGAAGTGCAGATTAGACTATATGTTGGAAGTGTACTTGGTGATGCATCAATCCTAAACTAGTACAAATATTGCCTTTCTTTCCATATAGTTTTGCAATCGATAAGATTACGGTGACTCTTTATAGTCTTTATAACATATTTAGTAGAAATATTTGCGTTGTCTTAATTTTAGGTTCAACTATAAAATAACATGTGTCAATTTGTCAAAGATTACCAGATAAAATATTGATATCATTTGTGAATAGTGAAATAATTTGTTATTAACAAGCAAACATCAACTAACACTTGGCGCAATTTCACAACCTTCACTTACACCTATATTAAGGTATTTACCATAGCATTACTTAATGTAAGTGCTTAAAAGTAAATGACATAAATGGAAATGAATGAATGTAAATGACCTAAAAGTAAATCTTGCACGAAAAATAAAGAAAGCTGAAAAGGTTGTTGTAGCAACAGACAGGAATGAAGAACATGAAAACGTACTTGCAAATTAAAAAGTAACAAGGAACCAAAACTTAGATGAAGATTTGTTCCTGATGACAATTGTTTCCAAAAGGTTACACACCACACTTCACACACTTGCTCAAAGGATTTCACACCACTATTTATACTACTATGAGGGAATCAAAAACGTACAAAAGGGGTAATACCCAATTGTTAATAACCAAGGGACAAAAGAAAAATGCCTTAGTACAAGATGCTTTAGGCATCTTGCAGGAGCATCATCTATCTAAATTTGTTGCCAGGAGTACTAGGAGATGCCTTCTTCAAAACTTTGACTTTTCACCTTATTCAACGAGATTGAGCCTTGTTGTGCCAATATCCAGTGTCCAGTGCTGCAACAACGTATACACCTGCTACAACAATGCTTATGTTAGCATTTTACTCACCAAACTTATAAGACATCACCATTCCTGCATCCTAGCTCCACTAAATGTAAAACCTTAAAATAAGACTAAAAGACTCAATATAGGATTGGGAAAAGTGAAAAATGAAGTGGAATAAAGAAACAATTTGGTGTTAAAATGTATGCTTTTGCACACATATCACCTAGTGAGTTCAAGGACTTTTCATTATTTATATAAAATGGTAAAACGAAAATAATGTTGTTTAAATGAAACTTCCAAAATGAAATGTATTAAATATAAAATCAACATCCTTCCCGAAACCCACCATTTTCGTGATGAAAATCATTATTCTAAACACCCATTTAACATGAACCAAAAACCAATAATTACACAAAAGTGAATAAGGTTAAATATTCAATTACTGTAATCATGGATAAAACTTTATTACCTCAACCATAAATCATGGATAACACTCCATACTCAAATCGTTAACAAAAACATGGACAATACTCAATACTCAAAACAACACCTTTAGGTGACGGAGGAGACATGTTTCCATAGATCATGGCAAAACACAAAGTAAGCCATTCACCAATGCTACCGAGTTTCACTCAAGTTCTTTAGGCTCCGTATACAACTCTACCGAGTATCACCATAAGACCCAAGCTCTGTATACAACTCTAATAAGTACCACTCGCAAGCCCTAAGGATGACCATGATTCCTACTCGTCCTCTAGGTGAGTCTCACCATAAAAGTCATCGGTATCCGTATACGATTCCAATGAGTACCACCACAAGACCTAGCCCTATGCATGACTCAATAAAATACCACCACAGACTAGTAGCTCCATATATGACTTGATAGGGTACCACTGTAAGATCTCAAAACCATGACCTGGTGACCACTCACAAAAAATTATAGTGAGAACATCAAGACTTCTCACTTAAAAAAACAAACATCAACCCGTTGGTCCCAGAGTCTGACCTTAAGCAAGTTCACCTCCGTAATACCAAATAACATCGATAACTCATAGGTCCTAGAGTCTGACTTTACATGAGTCTATCTTTTCAATACCCGTAGTCCTGGAGTCCAACCCCACACGAGTCCCTGTTGGAACCCATATACTCTTAATTCTCAGAAAAACATAGTTGATAAAGAATATGATTGAAGTACGAACAGTGTACTGACTTTGTTAAAACGAAATGTTCAATATAAATAAGAACAGTAGAAGACTTGAATAAATCAGAAGCTTTTATTAGATGAAAATAACAATTCTCAATCTAAACATATTCTCACAAGAAAAGACTATAATATAAGTCGGCACTCTCAGATTATTTGAACCTGAGGAGGAAGTCTCCTTATATACACATAAGTCAAACAAACTATGCTATACTTATGAATCTCTAGGTTGCTGAGTCCGCATCCTTATTGTTGACTGGGAGCGAAAATGGTCAAGCCGCCTTGATTTTGTTGACGCTTGCGAGAATGTCTAGACTAAACACGCGTTCCATGGAGATAGGAGACCAGAGGCTCTGCATGTACTATATAGAAGCTCTCCATGTACTATGCAGAGTTTCTGCGTATGCAGAGGCTCTGCATGTACTATACAGAGCCTCTGTGTCTGGAGTTGTAGCTTTGCATCAAGCGCTTAAGCTTTTTGGCGCATAAGGCTTGATCGTCCACGGAGATTGAGCGCAGGCTCTGTATGTAGGAACCTTCACTCTTTGAGTAAGAGCTCTGGTTCTTGACCTCTTCTGCATGAGAGCTCTTAGTCCAGACTGCTTCTATAGACTAAGTCCTATTGACTAGAGTAAGAGGCTTCTTGCTTACACTTCCACAAGATGGGGTCTAACAATCTCCTCCTACATGTAAATAAGACAGGCTCTTACTAGAATTGAAAAACACAAGTATAGTCAAAGCCAGAGGTTAAAAGAAACCTCTGTTTTATATTATCTATCTAGAAAGTACAATACGATGAAAGGAAATTACATTGCTTGAAAAGATAAAAAAAAAATGCTTACAAAAGAAAGGCCTAGATGTGTTGAAGCTTGATGAACCTCCTAAAAAGCTCTCAAAACTCCAACAAGTTATGGATTGAATTTAGAATTATCTTTACTCTTTCCTTTGCTCCAGGGGTGTTATCTCTACTCCTGAGTAAATGATCTCTGATGTAGCGTAGAGTAGAGTTTGAGTACTTGAAGCACTAGTCTTCTCAAAAAAAATATTTTCTTTCCTTGTTCGTTTCGAAAAACCACCCCTACTTCTGGTTCCACCAGCACGGTCCACGAGGGAATGTTGTTGATGTCTTGCAAATCTTCATTTGGTGCAGTAACGCTTAGTTGATCTATTCCCATGTCCAGAGCCAGATGGAAGTCAAACTTGCATCTAAAGTCCAGAAGGTTCGTCATTGTTTGTCTTATTGCAGAATTGGCCACAACATATTTTATCCCCTTGTTCTTCTTATGATCCGTGAAGTAAAACAGAGACAGAAGATCCCATGGATTCAGATTTATAAGATCACCATTTGTGAAAGTGCTAATCTATCCATGAGATCTCTCCACCATATATTCATGGAAGATGATTTGATTGTGCGCAAAGGTTCATTTCTTGATGTCGAGGACTTATTTGATGCCATCGACAAAATGGACTGCAGAGATAGGATGTGTATATCGATGTAAGAACCTTTGCCTGATGTTCTCTTAGGCCGTTGGATGGAGGTTGATCTTGATGACCGGTGTCTCATCCCGCAGGCTGTAGAGGAATTGGTAGATGTCTTTGTTGTCTGCCTTGTCCTTGATTGGATTGTCATGGGGTGTGGGCTTCATCATTGCATCCATATTATCTTTGATTTTTCAAACTCGATCAGAGGGTCGTTTGGAGCTCCGAGGCCTGCTGCTTTTGCCCTGCTTCTGGTCTGCTTGGTTTGGCGGAACCCTCTGTCTCATAGCCGGTGTGACTACTCTGGTCCCTTGAGTAGGGACCTTAGCTCTGTGCGTGTTTCTTTATGGTGGTGGTACAGCTATTGTAACACCTTCAAGTGGGACAGCAATAAGAATAGCTGTTAGTGTTGGATCGGCTACATTTACTGCCACCACTTCTTCTTCTTCATGTCTCCTTGTAGATGGAACAGCAGTCTCCATGGCATATTCTGTGGAAGATGATAGAGGCTCTTCTGACTCAGATGAAGAGATGTATACGGATAAGAGCTGGATGACATCTTCATCTTTTTGTTGCCCTTCTGGCTCTGCATGGGATGCC